TACAATATTTGAAAATCCATCAGCATCATCCACCACATCAACAAAAAGAAGGACAAAAAACCACATGATCATCTCCATAGATGCCAAAAAAGCTTCAACAAAATACAATATCCATTCATGATAAAAACTCTCAACAAAATGGGCATAGAGGGCAAGTACCTCAACATGATAAAGGCCATATATGACAAATGCACAGCCAACATTGTGCTTAACATGAAAGCCTTTCCTTTAAGATCAGGAAAAAGACAAGGATGCACACTCTCTCCACTTTTATTCAGCATAGTTCTGGAGGTCCTCACCAAGGCAATCAGACAACACAAAGAAATAAAAGGCATCCAGATTCATAAAGAAGAAGTTAAACTGTCACTGTTTGCAGATGACATGATATTGTACATTAAAAAAACCTAAAGAATCCACTCCAAAACTACTAGATCTAATATCTGAATTCAGCAAAGTTTCAGGATACAAAATTAATACACAGAAACCTGTTGCATTCTATACATGAACAATGAACTAGCAGAAAGAGAAATCAGGAAAACAGTTCCATTCACAATTGCATCAAAAGAATAAAATACCTAGGAATAAACTTAACCAAAGAAGTGAAAGACCTCTACTCTGAAAACTGCAAGAGACTTATGAGAGAAATTAAAGAAGACACCAATAAATGGAAACACATCCTGTGCTAATGGATAGGAAGAATTAATATTGTCAAAATAGCCATCCTGCCTAAAGCAATCTACAGATTCAAGGCAATTCCTATCAAAATGCCAACAGCATTCTTCAAAGAACTAGAGCAAAAAGTTCTAAAATTCATATGGACCACAAAATACCCCAAATAGCCAAAGCAAGGCTGAGAAGGAAGAATAAAACTGGGGGGATTATGCGCCCCAACTGAAAGCTCTACTACAAAGCCACAGTAATCAAGACAATTTGGTGCTGGCACAAGAACAGAACAATAGACCAATGGAACAGACTTGAGAGCCCAGATATAAACCCAACTATATATGGTCAAATAATATATGTTAAAGGAGCTATGGACATGCAATGGGGAAATGACAGCCTCTTCAACAACTGGTGTTGGCAAAACTGGACAGCTACATGTAAGAGAATGAAACTAAATTATCGTTTAACCCCATACACAAAAGTAAACTCAAAATGGATCAAAGACCTGGATGTAAGTCATGAAACCATAAAACTCTTAGAAGACAACATAGGCAAAAATCTTCTGAATATAAACATGAGCAACTTCTTCCTGAACACATCTCAAGCAAGGGAAACAAAAGCTAAAATGAGCACATGGGACTACATCAAACTAGAAAGCTTCTGTACAAGAAAGGACACCATCAGCAGAACAAAAAGGCATCCTACAGTATGGGAGAATATATCTGGAAATGACATATCTGACAAGGGGCTATCATCCAAAATATATAGAGAACTCACATGCCTCAACACCCAAGAAGCAAAGAACCCTATTGAAAAATGGGCAGAGAATATGAACAGACACTTCTCCAAAGAAGAAATTCAGATGGCCAACAGGCACATGAAAAGATGCACCACATCACTAATGATCAGGGAAATGAAAATTGAAACCACAATGAGATATCACCTCATACCAGTTAGGGTGGCCAGCATCGAAAAGACTAGGAACAACAAATGCTGGTGAGGATGCGGAGACAGGGGAACCCTCCTACACTACTGGTGGGAATGTAAGCTAGTTTAACCATTGTGGAAAGCAATATGGAGGTTCCTCAAAAAACTAAAAATAGAAATACCATTTGACCTGGGAATTCCACTCCTAGGAATTTAAGCAAAGAATACAAGTTTTCAGATTCAAAAAGACATATGCACCCCTTTGTTTATCGCAGCACTCTTTACAATAGCCAAGATACGAAGCAACCTCAGTGTCCATCAATAGATGAATGGATAAAGAAGGTGTGGTACATATACACAATGGAATACTATTCAGCCATAAGAAAGAAACAAATTCTACCATTTGCAACATGGATGGAGCTGGAGGATATTATGCTCAGTGAAATAAGGTAGGTGGAGAAAGACAAGTACCAAATGATTTCCCTCATTTGTGGAGTGTAACAGTGAAGCAAAACTGAAGGAACAAAACAGCAGCAGATGTGCAGACTCACAGACTCAAGAAGGGATCAGCGGTTACCAAAAGGGAGGGGTGAGGGAGGGCAGGTAGGGAGGGAGAGAGAAGGGGATTGAGGGGTATCATGATTGGTACACATGGTGTGTGTGGGTCACGGGGAAGACAGTGTAGCTCAGAGAAGACAAAAAGGGACCCTGTGGCATCTTACTACACTGAAGGACAGTGACTGCAATGGGATATGGGGTACTTGATAATAAGGGTGAATGTAATAACTACATTGTTTTTCTTGTGAAACCTTCATAAGAGTGTATATCAATAATACCTTAATAAAAAAATAATAGTTTCAACCATTTATTGAGTGCCTACTGTGTACTGAGAGCTCTGCTAGGCACCAGCCCTGTTCACGTCACACCTGCAATAGGACAACAGCTCTCTGCTGCCCTCCTGTCTTCCAGTCTGTTTTCCTTCAATGCACCTTGTCTACCTAGCCAGTCTTAACTCTTTTAAACCTTATCTTACTCTTTTGCTCCAGTATATGCAGTGGCTCCCCAGTGCCCCCCAGGGTCAAGTTCAGTTTTTTAATGTGATGGTTAAATTTTCCATATTCAGGTCCTGCCCTCTCTCATGGAATCTCCTATCAGCTATGTCTCTTTCACTAGTCCTCCCCTGTGCCTTGTACTCAGAGGTGCTCAAGAAATATTTGTTGAGTGAATGAACACATGGGTGAAATGTGTCTCTAAGTCGGGCTACTCAAACTTAGTAATTTACAAGACACTCTAGAGAGTGTTGCAGCTGCAAGAGTTTTGCAAAAATCTGTGCACTATTTTTATTTACTTAAATATTTTCCTTTTTTAGATTAAATAAATGAATCTCAAATGGAAATTGTGTATCATACTGTAACTACAAGTTTGTCATTACTTGTCAGAAATAAGTTTCCATTAAAATAAATACAAGGACAAATGCGCATTGTGTTCAATTCTAATTAGATGTTGTTGTCTGCCAAGGCTGGAGTCGTGGGTCTTATCTCTCTTAGTGGAAATGGTATTGGCTGATAATTTGGAAAGGTGTTAAAGACAGATTAGCACCAATCTGAGGCTTGCCCATGAGCAGAAATCACAAGGATGTTACAGGGAGATGACTGTAAAAGAGCTTTTCCACTTCACTAGAGATTATCATGGCTACCACCAGTGGCTGCCTGTCCACATTTTGGGAACTCTAATTACACAGGACCCACCACTCCAGCCCAAGGAGATGGCTGAGAGCTCTCAGGGAGACTTCAACCCAGACCTTTAGGAAGTGTATGGAAGCCCTGCATGCCACCACCTTGACTTTCTAGCATGTGTCTGTTATCAGAACCCCACTGCACAGGAAATGAGTCTCAGAACTCCACTGAGATAAGAGTTTGTTTGAAACCATCTGCCTGGTGGAATAATGAACTCTCCATCACGGAGATGTGTAGGCAGATGCTAGACAGTCATGGTTGGCTGGGGGAGGGAGACAGGGAACAGGGAAAGTTGTGGAGATAATGCAAACATCAGATGGTCAGCCTATGAAACTGACCTGACAGCCAGAGTTTGCTTTCCTATGTAGGCAAAACACATTTAGAGCAATGAAAACAGGAGAATTAACTTCTGATCAGGAATACAGAAAAAACGAGAGACAGTTGTGAGCTGTGCCCTACATCTCCATCCAGGCAGCTCATATTCATACTTTGGCTCTCAGCTCAAATGGCACTTGCTTAAGGAAACCTTCCTCAGCCATCCCAAGCTGGCCCGGGATCCCCTGAAACATGTGCCCCTTACAGAGCTTGTCACTCTGGGCTTGTGCGGTTATCTGACAAGGTCTCCCAAGCTGGACCTTGAGGTCTGTGACCTGTCTTGTTTACCACTGTGCCTCCAGAGCCTAGCACAGTGCCTGGTAAGTAGAAGGAGCCCAATAAATATTTGAAGTAACCGTGGGGTTATAAGAATATGGGAGCTGGTGACTAGTGAGGAGGAATGGATGGGCCAAGGAAGATACTATTGAGATTCCATGCTTATGGGTGAGAGTGTGGGGAAAGAGAAGTCAGGGTGACCTTGGGGAGCACAGTGTGTTGTGTGACCCCAGGATGGCCGACCAGAGATGGGGGACAATGTGGGGTAAGGGATGGCAAGTAGATCCACTAACCCCAGCCCTGGGGACAGGGAGAGGGGGTGAAGAGTGGGGTCCTTTCTGTGTGTCCTTGGGGGACCCAGAGCGAAGAGTAGTCATAGCCCAATTCCCAGGAACCTTTGTGAAAGTGCGCAGGGAGGAGAGCAGAGAAGGGGCAGGAGCCCCACCCCGACCCCCACTGAAGGGCCCTGTGACCTGCAGAGTGAGAAGAGGGTGACAGAGGAAGAAACAGAAAGGACGGACCAGCAGAAGTAGACCTGCAAGGCTGGAAAGAGAAAACCGCCAAGAAGGAAATCCATGTTGAGAAGGATTGGAAGACAGAGACCCAAGACAGGCTGAAGGCCCCAGGCCCAGGCAGAGAAGAAACGTACAGACCCACGGAGAAGGAAGGGGAGCATGAGAGGAGGGGGCGGGGAAGCTGGCGGGGGTGGCGGAGAATTGGGAGTCGGAAGGAGAGAAGACAGAAGAGAGGCGAGGAGGGAGATGAGAGCGGAGACCTGGAAGGGACATGAGAGAAGGGGTGAAGACGGGGGAATAAGGAAGAAGGCAGGGAGAGGCGAGGCTGCGGGACAGGAGGCGGCGAGGCCACAGCCGCGGCGGGGGCTACGGCGCCGGCGGGGGGCGGGGGCACAGGCGGCCCCTCCCCTCGTGGGCGGCTCCAGGACCTGCCCCGCCCCCCCCCCCGAGACCCCGCCCCCTCAGTACGGCCCCGCACCCTTCCCGCGTCCCTCCGCCCGCCCTCGGAAGAGCGAGTGCGCCGCGAGGTTGCGGGCTTGCGGCGCGGAGCGGAGGAGCTGAGGAGCGCGGAAGGTAGCGCGGCCTGAGGCGGGAGCGGCCCCGCGCCCGGAGCTCCCCGGAGCGGCCGAGCTGCCCGCGCAGCGCCCGCCGCAGGCAGCGCGGCCCCGGCCTCAGGTAGGAACGGGCGGCCGGCGTCGGGGCGCGGGGCGCAGGGCCCTGGACGGCCCGGGCAGGACGGGCAGGACGGGCAGGGTCGGGGGGACGCCCGAGATACCGGCGCCTGGCCTTGCCCGGGCCGCACCAGAGAAGCGGGAGCGCCGCTCCTCGCGTCGACGTGCGCCGGGCTGGTGCCCTGGGACGCGCGGGAGCCACGGGCTCGAGCGAGGGTCGCGAACGCCCATGGCCCTTCCGTGTCGCGGGGCCGCATGGACCCCTCAGCCGGCGCTGGATTCGGCTGGAACCGTCGAAACGCCGCGTACACTCCTCAGGGGACGGCGGGGAACCCGGGAGCAAAGGATACGAGCTGGGTTTGGGGATCGTGCGCCACTTTTCCCTGTCGGGGTCAGCTGCGCTGAGGTAGAGCCCTGAGCCTCATTTATTCCCCAGGGCCTGTTGGGAGCTGGCGACTCGGGGATGGGACGCCTCCTTCCTATCCTGGGACAGCTCAGGCTCTCAAGAAATGTTGACTGAAAAGCACATTACAGCCTGGGCTGAGCGCAGCAAGCCCACGCCGCACTCCCCACCCCTTTACCCGGAGGGTGTGGGACAAGGGGAGGGGTCCACCAGAGGGTGTGAGGACTGTGTCCCCTCGCTGTCGCGGAAACCGCTCCCACCTTTCCGCAGTGTGTCCCGCAGATGGGGAAAAGGGTGACCCTGCATGCCGCGGTTACCTTAGGACAATGACCAGAGGGTCCCCACCGCCCCTTTGTACCTGCACATCCCCATGGGTGGCACCACAGATACCCTGTTCTAGCTTAGCTTAGTCTTAAAAAAGGAACTCAGACTGGGCAGCCCCCACTGAGGCTCTGAGCCAGTGCCCTCCCCAGATAGATGTGAACCCCAAGGAGGAAATTGCATTTTAAAAAGCTAAATGATAAAGTCTTGTTTCTTCCTAATGTGGGGCTGGAGCACCCCCTCCCTCTCCCAGGAAGCTCAGTCTTATCCCCATTAAGAACTGGGCAGGAGGGAGGCACTGAGTAAAATGGCTCCTAAGCTTTGGTGACATCCCCAAAATCAGAGATTATGCCAGCCTACGTGAGTGTACTTAGGAGTTGACCTTCATTTTTCTGTGACACATGAAGTGTTTGTTAAGAGAGGGGTGCCTTGTGAAAGAGGGAGTGATAGGTGCTGGACATTGCTTAGATTCTCTCATTGGAAACTTTGGGGAAAATATAGTCGTAATGGCATCTGAAAAGGCTGCCCCAACTCCCAAATTCCAGAACAAAGAGTTCAGTGGGAACTATAGGCATCTTGCACCTTCTGTCTCTCTCTTTGGAGCACTCTCTCTGGGAAGGGTTGACCCAGCCCCTGCTCTGGTCAAGGTTAGAGCAGCCTTAGGTCCTCCCCCAGGCTGAGGAGGGAGAGGAGAACATGCCCTTGGAGGTACAAGTCCCAGGAGGAGTTGGAGGGCCCCATCCCCAAAGCAATCAGGGCAAGATGGCTGAGCCTCCCTGGAGCCACAGAAATAAATTGTCAGGCAGGCAGCAAACAAAGAAAGCACTCTTTCTCCAGCCAAGCGCTGGCTCAGTGGCCAGTCTTTGGAGGACAGTGAGTCCCAAGCAGCCAGACACAGTCCAGCTTGTCTGGAGAGCATCTGGAGAGTGGGGCAATCCCTAGGAACCACACAGGAGAGAGGGAGCCTTGGTGGGAGAGAAAGGGGCGACCATCTCTCCTGATGTGCAGCCCTTTGTTGCAGGGCTGGAGGCTTTGTGAAAACTGGGTTCCCCACGAACTCAGGATGGGACTGAGAGGGGTGTCTAGAGGCCAAGGAGGAGACAACTCAGGAGAGTAGAGACAAGGAAAAAGCAAGTCCATTAAAGCGAGAAGGAGCACAGTAACTCTGTCCTGCCTTTCACATGCCTAGTAATCAAGGAGCTCAAAATGCTATGAATTTGTTTATACGTGGCCCAGCATGCACACAGCAGGCTCTGAATAAAGCCTTTATGGATGGAAGGTGATGACGCATGGACTTACCTGCAATATCTACCTGTGTCATTGAGCCAGGAAGGCTCTAAACGGTAGCCCTGAGAGCACAGCCAGGAACAAGCCCTGGTTAAGTTGGCTTTGAGCTAGGGTGCTGGCATTTTCTGGCTGGGTGACCTTGGGTAAGTTCTCATCCCCGCTGAAAGGAAGGAATGGAGTATGGAAAGCTTCCGATGGGCCCAGTTCAAAATTCCTGCAATAACTGTGTGTGGCAGGTACTATTCTAATTCCTACTTCAGAGGTGAGACACTGTGGTCCAGAGAGGAAAAGTGACTTGCCCAAGGTCATACCACTGGGAGGAGGCAGGACAAGGGTTTGAACCCTGTTTTCTAATTCCCATGTTGCCTACTTGCTGGTCTCTGGGCCTTGGTTTTCACCATCATAAAATGAAGTGATGGGGTGATTGTCAGATTTGATGGCTGGCAGTGAGGCCCCTGGGTCTGTCATCTGAGCAAAGACTGCTTCTCTACCTTCATGGCATATGCTAAGAACAACATTAAATAAAGCACAAATGCCAGGTGGCTTCTCACCATCACATAAAGATACTGTTCCTAGGCTTGTCTGGGAGCTCAGTTGCTGAGATAGAGATGTCTCAAGGCATTTGGAATTCAGAGATGTCTTTTTCCACCTTCTGATTGTGTATGCGTCACAAACCGTGAGTATCAACCATTAAGCTTTGCCCACTGCCTTTAGCCCACTGCATCCCAAAGTCCATCCCCTTTGTCCTTGGGAGCAAGTGGGATGCCCGAGTGCCTTCCTGTCACCTGGCCTGACTTGTGCCCAGCTTTGTTCCCTTTGATCATGGAAGCTGTACCACCCAGTAGCCCTCTCCCTCAGCCTCAGTCCCAATGCCAAACCCAGTAGAGCTCCTTCATTGCCATGCCGCCAGATGGAAAGAGAGACACAGTGTCAGTGGCCTGTCTTTGCCTGTGTCTGACCTATCCCTTAAATTCAACCTTGCGGAGTTGCCGAAGTGTCTCTGTGTCTGGAGAATGGTGGGCAGAGCACAGTCCCTGCAGTGATGAAAACAACCTTGAGCTGACTCTGCTCGCAGAGGGCTGCAGGGCCCCCTCTCTGTGAAGAGATCGTCAGACAGCCACTGTTCCATGCCATTCCTCGACACCAGCCCCTCAAAGGGGGCCAGCACTGGTAGTCCTTTCTGCCATCTTTTTGCTTCATTGTCTGAAGGTTGCTGGGAGGCAGAAGGGAAGAGGGTGTGCTTGAGAGAGGAAAAGACTGGGAGGCCAGGTGGGGACCCCAAATAGGATGTCCCAAGATATGTGCCTCAGGGAGCTTTTTGAATATCTAGAATTCTCACCCGGAGCTCACCTTAAGACCTGGGAGCTGTGGAAAGATGCTGTGAGAGTCACTGGGAAGCCAGCTAATAGCAGAGATAAGGGTTGCCTGGCATAGACGGAAGGTGTGAACGCAAGCTGTGATATTTCAGCTCAGGCTTGGATTCACTCGTAAACAGAAAAGAACCCACTAAATATTGTTCCAATGATGATATGAATTGCAATAATAACTAACAGTTACTGCAAGTTGGTGATCTGCCAGGGAATGTGCTGTGTGCTTTTCTTACTGCATTTACTTTTCACAAACCCCTCTGAAGTACGTAGTAGAATTGGCCCTCTGCAGATGAGGAAACTGAGCAGGAGAGAGGCTAAGGAACTTGCTGCAGGATCTCCGGGCTAGTAAATGGTTGGGAGCCCAAACTCAGCCACAGTGTGCTGACATCCCTTCCACGGAAAAGCCCCTGGCATCACTCTCTTGGCAAGAACCACACTCCCCATTTTCAGAGCTGCACGGTTAGGAAGCATTTCCCCATTTGTTTTCCATCAGTAGAGCTTTGTCACAGTTCTGGGAGATGGGCAGAGTGAGAGCTGCCTTTTGACAACTGGGGAAGCTGAGGCACAAAGAGATGAACTTGTGGTCAAGGTCTCTGAGCTGCTAAATTGCAGAACTGGGATTGACTCTCAGGTACCCTGCCTCTTACAGCATGTTTGTGACCTAGACTTTAAATTTATCTAAACCTGGTGTTGATGTGCCCTTTGCCACCTTCCCTTAACTCTCAGGTGTCCCCCAGTTTGTCACCAGCCTCTAGCTACTCTGGAAGCCATTGAGAGCAGCCGACAAAGCCATCAGCTCTGTTTCCTGTGATCTGACATGACACGAAAGTGGCACTCAATTTGATGTGAGCTGCCTGCATCGAATGGCCTTCTATTTTTACATTTCTCACAAATTGAAAATTACAAGGAGGCCAAGTCTTGCAGAGCAATTGGCTGTGGCTCTCTGAAAGCAGGGGGTGTGCATCTAGGTGGAACAGGCCCTATTAGGGTGCCAGGGGCCCTCTTGGCTGCAAAATGAGTCTCCAGCTTCCAGGGCAGGACGGGATCCTGGCACACAGGCCAGGCTGAAGGATGCTAGAGTTACTGGCTGCCTTGGACAGTGACCTGCCTCTCTGCCCACCTGTCAGCTGCATGGTGTTTGTAAGATCAGTGTTGCATGCCAGCTTCTGAGACAACTGAGCCCTGGCCAGAGGGACATTCAAGGTCAAAGACGCCCTGAAAGACGCTGACAGCAGGTTGTTTTCATGGCCTTATTGTTTGGTGAGGAGCTTCTGTGTGGGGAGAGGGCAGCAGCCCAGGAGGTGAGCATCAACATTTGGTATCCATATCACAGTTTACTGAAACTTAGTGCTGATAGCAGCACCCGCGGTTATCAGAATAGTACTTTACAATTTGCCAAAAAATGCACTTAAAACTGTTCTTTCTTTTGATCCTGGAATATCCAAAGTATTCCAAGAAAATATGGTCCTTGATATCTTGGAGAAGAATCCTCTGTCAACCAAGAGATATTTTTTAAGGCTAATTTTCTTGTTCTAAATCAGAATGACCTTGACTCAAATAAGGGCTTTTTGCACACACATGAGTGTACACACAGTTAACGCTTTTATGTAGAATTTCACAATGAGAGTGCTTTCTCCATTGAAGTTTGCAACAATCCTGGGAGATCCAAGTGAAAATACTATTTTTATTACCACTATTGTCTCCATCTTTTGGATAGGAAAACTAAGGCTCAGTGAACCCTAAACACCCTCTGGATTCCCAGCTGATAGGAATCATCTTTACTAAGCCTGAATCCAGATTTACCAGGTAGTCACTTGAGAAGGAGCCCAGATGAGCCCAGCTCAGCTCCGTAAGAGGTGGAACACAGAGCACACAGTGATTAGGCTGAAGGAAGACACAGCCATTACGTTTGGAACATCTTGTTCTAGCCCTGCCTGAGCTCTGACCAGAGACAACATCTCAGTCACATCCATTGTCTGATGTGTTCTCATTGGCCAGGGGATCCCCAGAGATGGTCGGATTTGTGGGGAAAGGAAGGGATGATTGCTCTCAGACACACGTGTGTGCGGTCAGATGTGCTTACCTATATTGATTTGGGTGATGTGAATACCAGTGGTGCCATGAGATTGGCTGGAAGGATCTAAGGCCTCAGTAGCCAGGAAGGCTATAGGCAAGTATTTGTCCATGAGCCTTGGGGTATTTGGGAACTGCCAGAAGAGGGGGCTGCGTGGTTCTGAACTGTGCCCAGCCAAGAGGGTAGGGAAGAGGTGGAGAGTATGGTATGGGATGGAAACCACTTGCCCCGGCCACCACCCCACATCCCCTCTGCCCTTGGACTGTTGCTCACATTGAAGGTCATGAAATATCACAAGTTCTAGGAGCTTCCTTAGGTGCTAGGAGGTAGGGACAGCTGAGGGTTTGTCATGTCCGTGGCTTTATGGCCAGCCTTGCCCTGACCACCAAGTGTGTGGAGAATTCTTGGGCCATTCTGGGCCGCCTGAGTCTGATGAGAATGGTGGTAAGGGATGGGCACTACTGTCCCCATGGCTGCAAAAGGAGGCTGAGGGAGGTGGAGCCACTCACCCCAGGTTGCACAGCAGAGTTTGAACCCAGGCCTGACTGATGCCAACCCCCATGGGCTTTTCCATGCCACCCCCTACCTCTGGAGAGCACCTGAGTAGAGATCATGGTGGGGAGGGGAGACAGGTTTTAACTCACTGAGACAAAGTTTGAACAATACAAACAAAAATGACCGAAATCAGAGGCCACCAGTTTCCCATGTACCGTCTGTGCTTGATCTTATGGTTCATTCCTGCTGTGACTTGAGCCCCTTTGCTCCCACATCAGACATTTCCAGAGCTTGAGGTCAAAGACCCAACTGTGATTAAAAGAAAAAGTAGGGTAGGCTTGGGGATGAGGAAGCAGTCCTCGTACTGAAAAGTAATCTGTGAAGATGGAATTTGATGCATATGTATATACATTTTTAATAGGTTGCTAATAAATGAGCAGCTCTTTTGAGCTCTGACTATGAGCCAGGCACTGAGCCTAGCACTTTACAAGCAGTGTCCCAAGATCCTCAGTGGGGAAACTGAGGCCTAGGGAGCTCATGTAGTGCACCAGGCTGCCCACTGTTGTGCCACAGAACTGGGACTCAGATCCAGGTCTGCCAGATTGTGACATTCTCATCTCTGCAGGATCCCAAGACCTGGACTTGCAGACCAAAGAAAAAAAGTGGTAGCTGCCTCCGGTCCAGGATAGCTTGGAGCCTGCAAGGGACAGAGGACAGAATTCTTAAAGAGTCCTCTCTGGACTTGGTTTTCTCAGTCTTTAAAGCAAATGAGTTTGGACTGGACTGGACAATGTGCTCTCTAAGCCAGGTGCTGGCTCTCCAGGTGGGGGAAGGGAGGCTGCATGCCCCACTTCCTCTTCCATTTCCCCCTTAATAGCCTCCCCCAGACTAATGATTGGGGAAGATAAGAGCCCTTTCTCCAAATGGCAGTGAATGCCGCTAATGACAGAGCAGATGGGGCACTGTTAATTATGCCACGGGTATTAAATGAAAACTCCAACCCCAGAGGAGTTAAACAGCTCCCCTTGGCTGGCAATGGTGGTGCCTAAGAGCGGTGCCATCAGCCTGGGCCGAGGCAGAACTGCCCCCTTTCTCAACCTTGAAACCAGCAGGAGTCACAGAGCCTCCTTCATACTGGTCCCCTCCCCAGCCCAGGGTCCATATTGGCCCCCTGGAACTGGGAACATTGGCGGCTGCTCTGGGAGATTTTCGTGGATGTCTCTGGGGACTTCCATTAGTCACCTTCAGGGGCAGATGTGGGCAAAAAACTGGATCAAATAAAACTTTGAGCACCTTTTGTGTGCTGGACTCTACTGGGGATCACAGAGATGGACCTTTGTTTCTAGCCTTTGAAGAGCTGCTCACAGTCAAAGCCATCAATTCCCTAAGAGCAAGAATGCTGTGCCCAGCATAGTGGGACACATACTAGGTTCTTGCCTCTTGCCTTTGGTTGTCTACAAGGCTCAGGTGAGAGCCAGAGGCCACACAGAGGGAACCAGAGTCAGCCGTAGGCTGCATGGGGCAGAGGACAGGCAGGGGCCCAGCTCTCTTCTTTAGGCACACCAAGGTGGCCTTCCAGGCTGCTGAACTTTCCACTTGCTGGGGGACCACAGATAATCCTTTTGCTCTCTCGGAGCCTCAGTTTGCACATCTGAAAAAAGGGGAGAGCAAGGGCTGTGATGGCTGCAGGTAAAACTATGTCTGCTAACCACCCCCAACCCTGAACCTCAGGGATCA